TTCCCCAAACCCCAAACCCATAGTGGGGCCGGGATTTTCGCTGTCCAAGAGCTTTCGGACCTTGAGCCCCGGTCTCACGACAACCGAGGGCATATGCAACTAGTTGGTTCTTAGTAGAGAAGGAGCGAAGACATGGGTAACCTTTACGAATAATCATAATCCCCAATAATGTCGACCCACGATTAATAAACCCCCTCCTTGTAAGGGCCTTAATATTTGGATCCCTATTATGATCCCTAGTAAGGGAGGGCGTTTATTAACCAGGGGTCTGGCTTAGCAGCTTGCATTCCTTCATTCCCTGCTTACCACCAGCAAGAATAGGAATCATGACTGGCAATTTGAGTCCCCAGCTTCATTGTCATCACGGACAACGTGCACCAGGAAAGGGAGCGGCGACAGGCATCTACTGCAGCCTGCGGTTGTTGCGCAGCGGGAACATGACAAGCACTGGTGCTTGTGGTACTTTCCCAATATAGGCGGACCCAATATAGACCCCAATATACTACAGTCCTTACCACTGCGACCCCAAAAATGGTACCATTTTTTGGGAAACCCCCTTGTGTGTGTGTGTGTGTGTTTTTTTTGAGTTGCTTTGCCGGCCCGCCTTTCGTCAGGGCTTCAAAGCCTGTCAGCGCAGCCCGACAGACTAACATCGGGTTATATTGCGGCAATATTGGGGTTATAATTATTGGGAGAATGGAAAATCAAACAGAAGCTACCATTTTAGGGTTTAGGGTTAGCTCGGACTTCGCATCCCGGCTGCCAGCCTTCGTCTGTGAGTCTTTGTAGCATCATGCCTTTCACGTACACCTCAGCCTCCCGGACGCATCACTGTTAAAGAAGTACCCTTGCGCTTGCAGATAGCATCGTATTGGTCAGGTTTAGATTTGACTATGGACTTTCTGGGCAGCAAGCTAATTCTGCTGACTACTCCAATTGTAGCTGCATGAGGATGTGCCAAGAACGCAGCTGTTCCAGCTCAGGGCCCGGAATTTTCAGTGCTTCAGCCTTCCCTAGAAGCCCAGGTACCCATATAGTAAGTCCTTGAGTTACAGATAACAGGAACCCAATATGTAGGTAACTGGGCTTCTAGGGCTTGACATCATCCCGAGACCCTGAACCCAAAACAACTCGGGGTCGCTTTGGTGGTCCTAAAGCCTGTCTGACAGAAATTCTGCCAGGCCAAACGTTTCCGCGCGCCGGCCATGCCAGGCTAGGAAAGGGGAGTTTCTCAAAATCATTGGCCTTTTGGAGGTCCTATGCTAGGCATCTCATTTTCGGGTGTATGCAGAACAGAAATTTTGAGAACTACCCAGTCGAGCTGAGCTTCCAAATTTTCTGCGAGTTCCCAGTGTGCTAATGGCCAGCCCTCTTCATCCGGGGAGCTAGAGTTTTTTGGAGGTTTCCCAAAATTAGGGGTACCTTTTTGGGGGTCCCCATAATAAGGATGATAGTATTTTGGGGTCTATATTGGGGTCCCCTTATTTAGGGAAACTACCATTTGAGCCATAATTTGAAATCCTTAAAGGGGCTTATATAGCGAATTATGCACGGGATAAGCGGGACTATAGCTCAATGTGGATAGCATTTTCAAATGGGGGCATTCAACAGTCCCCAAAATGGAGTAAGATTGGATGGTCCTTTTGGTTACGGCATTTCATAAGTAACATAGATTTGTCCTTGGTCCAACCACCAAAACACTTTTCGGCCTGTCCTTGAAGAACATTGTTTTCACAGTCAGGAGCATAAGAACTATAGTCTAAACTCCTAGTATCCCCCTTGTTAAGCCCTATAATACTTCGCTAAACAATCTCCTATATACCCCCATTGAAGAAGTTTAGACTATAGGACATGTTGCTTTTTGGGGAAGATCTGAAGTTCGAGTATTGCCCGCCTCAAATGATGGCCAGCCAATTTTCTATAGCAACGTGGGTTAGTCTGTTGCGCGGGAGTGCATGGACATCACATGTTCCAAGCCTAAACCCCAAACCGCCTGAAAACCCTAAACCCCAAACCGCTTAATTTGCCAGGAGGGCCTGCACCTTGCAAAATCTCCCAGATGGCTACTAAGAACCCGGTGTAGGGGTTTAGGGTTTAGAGTGTAAGGGCCGAGGGTTTAACGTAGACCTGTGATCGGGTCCTTCTCAAGGGTTATATAAGGGTTCTATAGGGATAATGGAAAGAAAACGGAAGCTACTATAGGGTTTAGGGTTTGGGGTTGCATTAGTGTAGACCCATGATTAGTAGACCACCTTCTTTGCAGGGCCTTAATATAAGGATGAAAATTCCTATTAAGGGGAGGAGGTTTATTAATCACCGGTCTACATTAGGGTTAAGGGGTTAAGGGTTTGGAAACTCAGGGATGAGGTTTTAAGATATATTCCTACTTTTGCCGTGGCAGCTATCCTCAACCCCACTTGATCCGTACATGTTAGACTGCAACTCGATAAGCCTTCGAAAACCTGGCACACCCGGATGTGATGAAGAGCCATTATCACACATGACCTATAGTCTAAACTCCTTCATGGGGGTTTACATGGGGGATTATGTACGGGACTATTATAGGGTTTACTAAGGGGGATACTAGGAGTTTAGACTATGGCTCACATGAGATTGCTTTGCTTCTGCGTGATGATGGAAAAAAGCTGAGGGTTTAGGGTTTGGTTTGTGGGTGCAGACGCTCGTCTTTGCCAACGTGATTTTCTCAACTACCCACTGTATGAATATCTAGTCCCAAAAGGGCACCGCCATAATCCTAAAGGTCCTTTATGCTGAGAAATTGCAAAAGGGCGGCTGACACCCCACCCACCCTGATCCGAACCCTCACCTCCTGAACCCTAAACACCGGAACCCTAAACCACAATGAAGGGTCCAAACAAGCAAGGGTGGGTTTTCCAGTGAGGGTCGAGCCCAACCTAGACCCCTATACCCAACCTCTGTTTCACTTACTTAGCCAAAAGAAGAACTTAAACCTTTTTGGGCTGCCTTTTTGGGTCTCTAGAGTAAAGCTTAAACTTTTTTAGCCCTGGTCATTGGGGAAAAGAGTTTAGGATACTTAGTTTTATGTCTACGGCAACCCCAAAAGTAAGTAAAATAATAGCTTCAAACACGTAAATATAGCCCAACAGGCCAGTGTTCTACATCGGGTAGTATCTTTTGTGTGCAAAATTTGGACAAAACCCGGTACCCAAAACAGGACCCAAGGTCCAGGTGGTGCGATGTTGGCGTTACAAGGGGCCGGTCTGGAGTTTTAGGGTTGAGGGGATCTGGGCAATTCTTACGAAAGCTTGTATGCTGTGTTCTTGAAAAAATCAGCCGACTCTGGCAACGTTGGCATCGCAGGGAGATTGTGGGTATGCCCCCCAAACCCATTAATGGTTCGATCAAGGGACAACTGAAACTCCCCTATCGGGACCCGCATCACAATCGGAACCCAAATGTTGGAACTTGTATCTTCGGTCGTCGAGAGAAAATCCCCTTGTCCTTACTGGAGATTCCCCTTCCCAGAGGGTCCAAGTACCCAATAATTAGGTACTTGGGTTTTGGGTAATAGTAACTATAGTACAGGTTAGGGGTAGGTATATGATTATTAGGTACTTGGACCCTTAGGGCTTTGTAGTTCACGACAGAACTGAAATTCAAGTTCATCTCATTCAGGGTCCAGACGGGCAGTTCGTCGGAGTGACCATTGTACAGGTAAGCATACATTTGGGACTCTAGTAGTCTGGGCGTGTTGAGTCCAACTGCTTCAATGATTTACGCTAGACCCTTAACCCTTAAGCCTGTGTAACCTTACCATTGCTTTGAGTGAGATTTCCCTAATCTCGAAATTATTTCAAAGTTTCAAAATCCGCCCCCAAACCGTAAGTAATGGTAATAAACCGTAACCGCAACCGTATCATGTGTCTTGTTTCCAGCGGCGGTGTCCCAATTTCGTGACCTGAAACCTGTTAAAATCAGACAAAGGCATCAAGTTTTTACTTGGCACCCCAAGGGTTTAAACCCTATGCCCTAAATCCTAAACCCTTCGCGCAACCGGAAAAAGGTCCGCACAAAAAAAAAGAGCCTTAAACCCTAAACCCAAGGGTGCAGGGACGGCTTGCTACCCAGGCGGCCTCATCCCAAAGTCTGTTGCAAAAGGGTTTAGGGTTTAGGGGTTTAGGGTTGAGGGTCTCGGGTTTAGGGTTCCAGGTTTAGGGTAAAGGTCTATTTTCCAGATTGAGGATGACACGCGTGCCATGTCAACACTGGAAGATGGCTGTAGTCCCACTGAAGTAGATAGAATATGGGGTATATGAAGACCTTATTATAATATACCCAAAGCCATATTCTATCTACTTAAGGGAGACGATAACCTCATAGGTTCCCCTACTACCCCACCACCCTAATGGACCTTGGCTAACCCAAGTAACCGCAAATCACCCTATTCAAAGGGGGAACCGCGGGAGGGTACGGGTAGCAGCGGAAGCCAAGATAAACGTGTGTCCATGCATAGCGGCAGCGTGGGAGGGATGGTGTAGCAGTATGTGGGATACCAAAATTTCCGCTTCCTTTGTAGCCCTTTGTTTCTAGACGTAGAAAACCTGAAGGATCACGTCAAACTCCCACTCCCCACCTATTCGATTCATTGCACCTGTTGAGCTCGTCATGCGAATTTCGACTATGATCTGGCTCGGCCTCAGGGAGAACTAGGTAGGAAAACGCTCAAGTCGAAGCCGTGTCATTTTCTACATGGTAGTTTCCCTAAATAGGGGGACCTTAATTTAGGCCCCAGCAGCTCCCTTATCCAGATGGGGTTTAGTGTTACGGGTTTAGGATGTAGGGCCATGTAGGGTTTAGATCCATGAAGACTTGGTTTATACCTGAGGCTGAACCTAACTCCCCCCATAGTATAGCTACTCGTACAGATGACACTCCTGTTTCTTCATCACACCCTAAACCCATGCCTAGTTCGTAGTTTAGACGGTCTTTTTCAGCGACGTCTCCTTTGAGCAGATGCCATGCAGGGAACAGATAGTGAGCCCTCGGCCTCTCGGATTTCAGACGTGGCCTTGTTTAAGGTTTCAGGGTTTTGGTGCTTAAGGGTTTTAGTGTTTAAGGGTTCAGGGTTTAGGGAGGCTTAGGGTTTAGGGCTTTTTAGGGTTTTGGGGTTTTGGGTTCACGGTTTTCGGAAGGGTAGGGGGTCCTGCAGCCTTTGTGAAGAGGTCAGGGATAGCACCACAGTATGAGCCCGCCGACAAAGACCGTCAGCCCCAAAGGGCCCCAGACTAGGTCCTACGCAATTTCATCCGGCGCATCCATCGCAAGCCATATAATATGCTGCCTCCTAGGTTGTCCCCTACAATGAACACAATTCTTTGGCAACTGTGGTGAATTGGAGTCCAAATTTATGTGGAGGGGCGGTGGTCCATGCCCGCAGGAAGCATTAAACCCGCAAACCCTGCAACCCGGAGAGGCTGGAGATTCACGCTTCAGTCCGGAAGCGCGAACCATTGACCACAAAGATCTAGGGTTTAGGGTTTAGAGTGTGTGCTGTTCTTAGACCTTACATGGAGGCCCCTATCAGGACGATTGAACATCACTGTGCCCACACTGCGATGCCCATGCTGAAGCCCCAAACCCTAAGTACGAACCCAAGGTACTTTTTACAGGGTTTAGGATTTAAGGCCTAAACCCCTAAACCCATAACCCCTAAACCCCTCAACCCTAAACCCCTAAACCCCTAAACCCTAAATCCGAGGTACTTCGCAGCTTCCAGGGTGCCACAGATGTGCGGCTTACTTCGGCAGCGCTACTGCGGGGGAAGGACCAAGTGGTGGCCGGGACCCAGGACACAGTGGGGTCTCGCGGGTCCAAAGGGGTTTAGGGTTTAGGGTTTAGGGTTTATGGTTTAGGGGTTAGGGTTTAGGGTTTAGGGTTCAGGGTGTTTGGGCTAGATGGAGGGTTGATGTTCAGTCATAATTATCAAGTGGCATGCAAGGCGCCCTACGCCTTTCTCAGGAACGCAACAACATTACAAGTGAAGCCTCAACCCGAGACCCTTAACCTACAAAGCTCAATGGTCCCCCGGAGTCCCTCAAACCCGCCACCGCCTTTGACGTGAATCAAATCATGGGATACAAGACACTGAGATTTTGCACCCTAAGCCCTAAACCTCATTGGGGGGATTCATGATTGAGGACAAGGGGATTCTCAAAATTGAGGGGGGCATGTTGACCAGACAGCCCCGTATTATCCTTTCGAATTTTGTTGAGCCCCAGTATCACCCTGTACCTTAGGAGGCCCCCCACCCTGCAATAGTTGTAAAATAGCAATATGATAGGACCCTAATATAGTCCTTATAATCCTTTATAGTCACTATTACAGGGTTGTGAGTCCACCTAACCTATACCCTAAACCCCAAGCTCTTATAAGCCTCATGAAGGACGGCAGCCTCCTGATTTGGAATCTCGCCCCCGGGCGGCCCAGACCGTATCGGCTGACGCTGGGTTGAAGTGAGAAGTATTTTTTTTGAAGGATATTATGGTACCCAATATAGAGTAAGATTATATCCTCCTTTTGGGGTATAGTATTTTGTATACGGAAAATAATCTTACTAGCTTCGACCACCAAAAAAATGGACTTGACCAGAAATCGACCTGGACCTTGAAAAGTAGGTAAAACTCACGGCCTAGAGCACCAACAAAAATGCTCTACATACTTTTGCGGGCCGGGCCAGGTAGAGGTGCTAGCTTCCCCAAATAAGAGGACGCCACAAATACTACAATACCCATTATAGGGACCCATCAAAAGGTACCCCTAATTTTGGGAAACTCCTGGTGTGGCATGGGGGGTCCAGGTAGAGGCATGAGATGGTCCTGACCTAAACCCAAATCTCTAAACCCCAAACCCTAAACCCTAATCCCAAACCGTGAAGCCGAGTGCCATATCCTAAACCTGTTTTATTTGCGTGTGCAGTTTACTGGCACGGGGTTTGCAAGTTGACTGCGAGCGCCTTTGCCGAAGAAAAGTGCAAACCGCAGTTCATGGCAACATCAGAGGTGCAGAACATGCAGAATTGAAGGGGGTGTAGAGTTTGGGGTTTGTGGGATTAGGATTTCGAGTTTTGAGCTCAGGGTTCAGGGAAGAGGGCGTATGGTCTGGGGGGGGCAAAACGCATGAGTGAATCTCAAAGCCCTAATTGCTCAAGTGTGTGGCCCTTCTCAAGTCTGGAAACATGAAGCCGAGTCTCGAGGCACGTGCAGCCAATACATTCTACCAAGTGACACATGCACACAGCCGCAGATCCGCATCACAGCTCTTCAGCCAGTTCTGCCTGTCGAGCCATTTTGCCGGAATGTTTCGTATATGGAGGATGTCAGGACAGGAGCTTCCCGCCATCAGCATGGAGGGAATCTCTCGTGTGTGGGACTTGAAGAGTTCACTTCGCAAGCTGCATGGCTTCCCGATTTGCATGCAGCAGCTGCTGCACGATGGCTGCAGTTTGGACGATGTAGCTGTGCTAGATGCTCCGATCGATATACTATTGGTCCTCAAGGCCCCTTCCACCGATGCGCAGCACCTTGCACTTGCAAAAGAGCTTGCCGAGACTTGCAAGCAAGGCGACCTTCAGGCTGCGCAGTCACTGTTGCAAGCTGGTGCCAACAAGGACCTTCCGGATGACTACGGCAATACAGCCCTCATGTTCGCAGTTATGGGTGGCCATAGAGAGATCGCACGGCTGCTGTTGGAAGCTGGTGCTAACAAGGACATGCAGGGCCAACATGGCCTGACAGCCCTCATGCTTGCGGAAGACGACGTGGAGATGGTTCGGCTGCTTTTGGAAGCTGGTGCCGCAAAGGACTTGCGTCGTAATGACGGCTCCACAGCCCTCATCTTTGCAGCTAGGCATGGCCACACGGAGATTGCACAGATGCTTTTGGAAGCTTGTGCCAACCCAGACTTGCGCAATTATGACGGCTACACAGCCCTCATGTTCACAGCTTCGGCTGGCCACGAGTCGATCGCAAAGCTGCTCTTGGAAGCTGGTGCTGACAAAGATCTCCGGGATTATCATGGCACCACAGCCAGCAACCTCGCTCAATGGAGGGGTCGCGACGGAATTGCAAGGTTGCTGTCGGCAAGCACTTGCAGGAAGGCACGAAATGGCTCAAAGTGGAGCTCAGGCTGTGGCTCATCGTGGCTTGCATGCTTGCAGATGTTGAGGGCATTGTGGGAACTGTGCAGATGATTGCAGCTCCACAGGTGGATCTGCCCGATGTTACAGGGATTATATTCCCTTAGCTCTGAGACCTAAACCCCGAACCCTAACCCTCAACCCTACTAAGAACGCAGCTCAAGTAGCGAGCTTCTGTCGCAGTCAATCTGTTTGCATGGCCCGTCTGTTTCAAGCCGCCTCCAGGAGGCAATTTAATGTAGACGCCTGATTTCTAAACCCCCTTCTTTTTAAGGGCCTTAACATTAGGATCCCTATTTATAATCCCTATCAAAGGGAGGGGGTTTATTAGTCAGGGGTCTACATTAAATTAGTAGAAAACGAACAGACTGCGGCGGCTTGGCGGGTCAAACGCCTCAGGAAGCATCGGGTTAAGGGTTTAGGGTATCAGGGTTTAGGCTTTAGGGGTTTAGGGTCTAAGGGTTCGGGAGTTTAGGGTTTAAGGGTTTAGGATGTATAGGGATGGCAGAGCAAGGATTTCAATAGCAACACGCACTCTCTATACTCGGCAATTTAAAGCGACCTCACCCGACCTCACCTTCAGTGGTTGTTTATAGTTGTAAAGGGAATAGGGAACTGATTTGTTCGAAATTCCTCTGTTTATTCTTTTGTTGAAAGTTTGATACATTTTTGAAGAAGCTTCCTTGCACGCCACCTAGTGTATTGAGGCGATGCCCCTGACCCCAGGAAACTACCACACCTTCGTAACCTTCCTGGTGCAGAGCAGAAACATCGTCCATCTTTCTGATAACTCCACACGCTAGTCTCCACCTCCGTCGTAGACCCAACAGAACATTTATCCAAAACCCGCAAACCCAAACACAAAGCTCCAAACCCTAAATCCTAAACCCTAAATCCTAAACCCTATTTAAACCCTGAACCCCAAGCCAAAAAGCCTGAGCCCCAAATCCTAAGCCCTAATTTGCGCCTCATGATCCAGGACAGGACAGAGTGGCTCCATTACCTGCGTCAAGGTAGGCTCTAGGGTTTATGCTTCAGGGTTTAGGGTTTAGGGTTCATCTCCCATGATGCGCGGTATGGGGGATATATTGGGATAATGGAAAAGAAAATGGAAACTACCATTTAGGGTTTAGGGTTGTTAATTTAGGGTTTAGGGTGTAGGGTGGCTCCCCTAAATAGGGGACCCCAATATAGTCCCCAAAATACTCTAGTCTTTATTATTGGTACCCCGAAAGGTACTTCTAATTTTGGGAAACCCCCTAGTAAGGAAGCGTGCAATGTAGGTTTAGGATGGTTTGTGGTTTGGGGGGTTTAGGGTCCGGGGTTTGGGGCTTAAAGCAGGTTTGACCATGCCACGGCTGTTGCAAAGAGTTTAAGGCTTGTAGGGGCCGAATTGACCTTGAAGGGCTGAGGGTTGGGGGCCTGCTTTTCCTTTCAGGGTTTAGGGTTTCGGGCTTGTGGGTTTAGGATTTAGGTTGCAGCGCAGGGCTAGGAGTCAGACAGGCCCTAAACCCAAAATCTTAGAAGAAAACATGGGCCAAAACATTGGAGCTTGGGGCATGTTCCTGACATTTCCCCTCTGCGTAACTTTGCAACTTGACAGCCCACCCCTAAACCATCAACCCAAAGACTAAACTTTGAACCCTCGTATACTGTACATGCTGGCTGGCATTCATGAGATTTAGGCGTTACTACTCGACAAGTCCTACGCTCTGAGCTTTTCGGCACCTACCCTGTTTAATCTCCGTTAGGAAAGCCATCCACATGCATTCTCACAGAATTCCCGCAAAAAAAGCTATGTAATCACAAGTTTCCAGGTCATTTGGCATGTTCTCTTCAATTTGTGAGGCAATGTTCCTCCTGTAGAACGCTATATAAAACGCCCTACAGAAACTCCATCGCTCCTGTATTACACTCATCGGTTCAACTAGTACCCCCCTCTATACTACACCCCTACATTCCCCCCTTAGTTAAGGTTATTTAGGGATAATTAGGCTTAATTAAGGTTGATTAAGGGGGAACCTAGGGGGAGGTAGTATAGAGTGGGGTACTAGTTGAACCCATGATACACCGGGGAGCTGCTTGAGGAGGGTGGTTGTTTGCCAGACTAGGGATGCAAAACACAGCACACAGGTTAGGGTTTTAGGATTTAGGCAAAAGGGCTTAGGATTAACAACCCTAAACCCTAAAGCAAAGGGTTTAGGGTTTAGGGTCACCCGTTAGGTTCGCCTAAGTTCAGCTTTGGGTTTCTTTAGTGTTGAGGGGTTGGGGCCCTGTCAGTTTTTTTTGGGGTGGTTTTGGGTTCAGGGTTTGGGACCGTGACGGTAAGGGTTAGGGGCTGATGGGCTGTGTGGGGATTACGGTGTTTTAGAGTTTTAGGGTTTGGGTTTTTGGTGTTTAGGGGCTGCAGTTTAGGGTTAAGGGTTTTTTTGTGGTATATGGTTGGGGACGGTGGGTGGATATTTCGGGCTTGGGGTTCTTTGGGATTTAAGGCTATGGGCTGCTCGGGGCTTGGGATTCTCCAGGGAATTAAGACTTTCGGGTTTAGGGTTTATATTCCCCCTTAAGTAGATAGAACATGTTGTATATGGGGATCTTATTGTAATATACCCAATGCCATATTCTATCTACTTTAGGGGGGGGTATAGTTGGATGTTCTTCAGGGTGTGACGGAGATTTGGTTCGAAAGGGATTGCCGTGCTGCACCGTTTGGGAAATTGGGGTACTGTACTGTTTGCACTGTTTGCAGAAAAGCTTTGGGTCCTTTGGGTCCTTTAGGATTTAGGGTCTTAGGTTCCCGCAGCGTCCATACATATGAAATCTTGAGCAGCTGGCCCCTTAAACCGCAAACCCGAAACGCCAAACCCCTAAACCCTGATCCCCTATCCCTAAACCCCTAAACCCTAAGCTATACACTCTAAACCCTAAACCCTAAACCCCTTAAACTTCCCCGTGACGAAGAAAGATCCCGTGGCCGTACCAGGCCAGTAGATCTGGCAAAACATTGGCAGCTTGGCTGAGCTGATGCGGTTTAAGGTTTAGGTTAGGTTGACTCCCCACCCAGTAATAGTGATTATAAGGGATAATAGGGATTGTATTAGGTCCTCTCATATTCTGATTATACCACTACTACAGGATGGGGAGTCCTCCTAAGGTTTAGGGTTTTGGGTTTAGGGTTTAGGGCCTGTTTCGAGGCTAAGGCTGAATATTCCCAGTTCTGTAGTCTCCTTCAGATTTTTCGATTAATTATAGTATACAGTTCCCCTGAAGTAGATAGAATATGGAGTATATGGGGTATCTTATTATCCTCTCCCTAGAGCCATATTCTATCTACTTACGGGGGGCTATAAACAGTTCTCTGGTCTCCTTGGGAATTTTTGATCTCGATTATAGTAGTAGAACCGTAAGGAATTAGTAAACAGGTTTTTTTGTTAGGTCTTAGGGGGCTACAGTGTTATCATTATGGTCCCGCGTGGATGTTCGGTGTCCATCGAAAAAGAAAAGCCCAAAACACCCCGAATCGTAGCTGTCATTTTCCATTGTTTCTTTATAACGCTTATAGAACCCGTACCGCTAAATCCTGAAAATAACAAAGGGTCGGGCTGACACGAGCTTTAGTTTGTGCTCATTTTTTCACGCAGTTGCTTTAAGCCTTTTAAGCATGAGAAGCGCAACTTCCCGTGCTGTAGCTTCCTGGGTTGTAGCTCTGAATGTTTATACAGGGGCGAAGGAACAGTAACTCACCGTATTGGAGCTTCTGAACAAACTATAGAACCCTGAAGAATTAGGACCCTGATGATGGGGTCTGACTTTTGAAGGTTCCTTACTATAGGATCTGGGCTTGCCAAAATCCTCTTACTTTCCGTCAATCCAAAACCCTACGCCCTAAACCCCAAGCTCTAAATCCTAAACCCTAAGCCTAAACCCTAAGTCTTAAACCCTAAATCCCAAACCCTGAATCTTTTCTTCCACCGAAGCACGGCTTCATTCGGAAGGTCTCAGCTTCAACGGATTCCACAGTGGCCATCTGGAAGTCGCAGGTCGACAAGAGGCCTGAGGTTGTCCTGCCTTTACGAAAATGAAGGGACACTAATGGTTTAGGGTTTAAGGTTTAGGGCTTAAGGTTTAGGGTTTAGGGCTTGAGTGACCTTACTGGGGACCCTGAAGCAGGGAGCCCCAAGCATATAGTAGGAATATGGTAGAAAATACCTACCAGGGTCCTGATATTCTTGTTCCATTGCTAAACTTGGGTTTCCCTGTTTTGGGTCCCCATTACAGTCCTTTTTAAATCATCCTGCATGGCCTGGTGTACTTTTTAGCACCTTAACTCCCAAGGGTTTGGGGGTACTTAGGGTCACATGAGTCTAGTCTAAACTCCGAGTCCCCCTTCACCCCTTAATGATCCCTATAGTAGCCCCCTAGATAATCCCTTATACGATCCACTTTAAAGAGTTTAGACTATAGCTGACATACGATTGTTAGCATCAACCGCAAGGCTCAGGGGTTTAGGGTTCAGGCGTTTTCAGTGCCCTCAAGTACTTTGACAGGGTTTAGGGTTTAGGGTTAATTTGACTGAGCACTTTTGCCAGTGGACTTGTGTGTGCTAACGCACTGAAAGCAGCCAGGACTCCAAGATTTTATTGTGCGACCTCGGTTGCAAGTAGGGAGGCCTTCCCTGTTATCCAAAATAAGCCGACCTGGCTTAGACAATTGTGAAAGCCAGTGTTCCAGGGTATTCTATAGGATAGAGGGCATGTACGTGATTATGAGACATAGCCAGAAAGTATACGTGGCCCGAGACTGTCTGAATGTAGCCCCTGCCCTTCGTGCCTTGAATCACAATCCGGAAGCACCTAAACCCTATGATTATCATCCCTGAAAGCTGTGCTTCGATTGTCTTCTTGGAAACCCAACTGTTCAAACAGGCAGGAGCCCGCAATGCTGAAACTGCATTTCAGCCCTGTTCGCTGCTGTCACTTGTGCCTTTTACAGAGGAGCAGGTTGAGATCTCAGGACAAGGGTCCAGTGGTCAAAACTCTGTAAAATCCCTTGAGACCCTAAACTTACTGGGGGCTAGTAGGGAATACGGGAGTATAATCCCTATAACATAATCCCGGTATAATACATTGCCTTATTCAGAATTTCAGGAGGTATAGGATGTAGGGTTTAGGGTGTAGGGTTAGGTATTTGGGAGTTTCACAACAGGGTTTAGGGTTTAGGGGATACAAATCGAAAAGTGTCAAAAGGCTATATAATGCGTGTGTGGGAAAGTTTCTGAAGATGATCTTATACAATTCCCAATAGCAACCCCCAGAATCCCATATAATCCCCATATATCATAGGGTTGCCTAGCGCCCCTGCGGCCCCCGTTTTTGAGAAACTCTTATCTGAGGATGGTTTTGTAGGCTATTCACACAAGAGCTCCAAGCCTAAACCCTAAGCTCCCTTTGGGGAAGTTGGGATATCAACGTGTAGCAGGACCATCATCGCACTAGCTTTGCAGTTTAGGGTTTGGGGTTTAGGTTGGGTACTGCCCCCCCCCCACCTAGTAACAGTCTATATTAGGGGCCTTATTAAGGGCTATATTTCCTCATATTTTATCATTATTACCCATCTGTTACTGAGGGGGGGCAGTACCCAAGGTTTAGGGTTTAGGGTTTAGGGTAACCCTAAACCCTAACCCCTAAACCCTAACCCCTAAACCCTAAACCCTAAAACCCTAAACCCTAAACTCCAAACCCTAAACCCTCAACCCTCATAGCATCCCGCGGACCCATGAAGTTGACAGAGCTTGCTGGCAAGTAGCATTATAGGTTCAGTACTGCCCCCCATCAGTAACATATGGATAGGGTTTAGGGTTTAGGGTTTTAGGGTTTAAGGTTTAGGGTAAAATGGTTATATATAGCCCTTAAGAGGACCCCTACTATAGACTGTTACTGGGTGGGGGCAGTACCCAAATTATAGGATAGTCGGGTTCAGGAAGTAAGGCTTTAGAGTTCAGGTTTTTGGGTTTAGGATTTAGGGCTTTAGAGTTCAGGGCTTTGGGTTCAGGATTTAAGGCTTTAGAGTTCAGGGTTTAGAGTTTAGAGTTTAGGGTTTAGGCCCTTCGGCATCAGGCGTATGATGGGCGCACAAGCGAGTACGTATCCTTAATCCTACAGCGGCTAAGAAGCCGGATCAACATTTGTGACACCTAGAGACCTCGATAGTATATTATAGTCCCCGTTAAGTAGATAGAATATGGCTTTGGGAATAGTATAATAAGATCCCCATATACCCCATATTCTATCTACTTGAGGGAGACTATATCAACTTAGCATACCTTTGCCTTGAATGATGTTGGCTCAGGTGACATTTCCACAGATGAGCGATTGCTTCTTACGGCCTCGGATGACAAGCCATTCGGCTGGCAACCGGTTGAGGAGTTTGGCGGTTTGCACAGAGCACAAGGGCAGATGGTAGTTTCCCAAAACTGGGTGGGGACCCGAATATAGACCCCCAAATACTCTAATCCTTATCATGGAGATGCCTAAGATGGTACCCGCATTTTTTGGAAACCTCCATACACCTGAAACGATACCAGGACCCTTGGTATAACGATGTGAGGAATATCTGTTCATCAACGGCCGTGGGCGGGTCAGAAATCAAACTTAGTGCTTCATCTGCCGGCTTTTCTGGTCTGTCGGTTTTCCTTACTCTCGCCTGAAATCTGAAATAATCTGCTTAGGATGTTAAATGTGGAAAATGATTGGGGCGCCTCAAAACGGCACAGTCTTCATTGTCAGTATGACATGGAACAAGCACCTAGACCCTAGATATACTGTGAACACTAAACCGATCCAAGGTCTTGTACAGCTACCAAGGACCTCTAAAGCCCCTAGACTAAGGAACCTCATTATATGAAAAAAGTGGAACATCCATGCCCAGACCATAATACCGTTCGTGTTACGAGAGCATACGATAACCAGAGCATCCATGCCCAAACCAGAATATCATTCGTGTTTCGACAGCGTACGCTCACTAGAGCATCCATGCCCAAACCATAATTCCGTTCGTGTTCCAAGAGCATACGGTGTAGCTTAGTGTGGCAAAACCTTAGTTGAGGCATTGTGGAAGTCGTGCCCAAGGTCCGTGAGGGCAGCTCTAAACATATCCGAGCCTTAAGCTCCCATCCCAAAGCCTGAATCCCAAAACGTCCTTTGAGACGGAACCCAACTTCTGAGGATTTTGTCTCCATTCTGTAGTAAGACGGAACCCAATTTCTGAGGATTTTGTCTCCATTCTGTAGTAGAAACATATATCATCAGGGTTTCGTTAGGTCCAGGTACGCGTAAAGTCCGAAATTCCATAAAACCCTAATCCTTGTAAAGTCCTACACCCTACAAAGCCTTAAAACCTAAACCCCATAAAACCCTGAGATCAAGCCCTAGGCCCGATAAGACCCCAAGCCCTTTCAGCCCTAAGCCCTACATAGCTCTAAACCCCATAACACCCTAAACCCTACAAGGCCCTAAAGCCTACAATGCCTGAAGCCCTATAATAGCCCTGAGGCCTCTTACCTAAAATACACCGAAAGGCTCATAGTTCGGCTACGATTAGCAGCCTAAACTCAACCCCTAATCCCTAAACCCCAAGCCTTCAAGCCCTCATCCCCAAACCCTAAAACCCTGAACCCTCAAGTGAGCCATAGACTAAACTCCTAGTATCCCCCTTAATAACCCCTGTACTAGTCCCCTATATAACCCACTATAGAACTCCCTTTAAGGACTTTAGACCTTAATCCCTAAACCCTAAACCCTATATAATCCCGTATACTATAGTATAATCCCCTATATAACCCCTTTCAAGGAGTTTAGATTATAGCCCAAGTAAGGACCGTAAAGCTGACGTGGCTGACGGAGCGAAAGTTTGCGGCAGCCTTCTCTGGCCATTCGCATCTTGCGCCGGAGAAATCCTTAGGGTCCTTTGAGGCTTAGGGTCCCTTTACATAAAGGGACTTTATTGGGAGCCCCAAACAGGGAACCCCAAGAATATGGTGGGAATATAATTGGAATGTACCTATCAGGGTCCTTATACTCTATATATTCCTATTATGTTTTCTGGGTTCATTGTTTGGGGTTCCCCGTACATTCCCTTTATTACAAGGGCTTAGTGCAAAGAAACCCCTTAGCCTCTAAAAGGGGTCTAGGGGGTCCCTTTACAGGATTTTAGGGTCTGAGGGGTTTAGCGTTTAGGCTGTCGTATTGAGGTCAAAAGGGCTGAAGAATCCTTTGGTCCATATGAGCAACTGTCACGGGTTTTAGGATTTTGGGCTACCAATGGACCATTAAGGGTGGACGAGGGGGTTTCTTGGGTACTTTGTTATGGTCTCAATATCTTCCCTACAAGGAGTCCATGTCAATCAATGATATGGGAGATCTTGTGACTGCAGCCCATATAATATAAGGCCATGTAAGTAGCAGTGTCTGAAAATGAGGGGGCCCCAGGGACCCCAAGGGATAACATAGGACTACTTGGAGGATCTCTTGGCTTCTCAGTACGTCTACATAGTAACTTGGGTTCTAGGGCTTGTAACTATAGTAGGGGTTATTAGGCATAGCAGGTAGACGCACTAAGTCAAACCCTAAACCTTAAACCCAAAACCCAACATTCTAAACCCCAAATTCTAAACTCTAAACAATCATCCAAGTAAAGGTAGAAATATGGGCCCGAATATGGGATGCTGTGGGGACTATTTTGAGAAATGCAGCTACAAGGGTTTAGGGTTTTAGGATTTAGGGTTTAGGGTTTTTGGGTTTTAGGGATTTGGGTTTAGGGTTTAGGGCTTAGTTAGGTGGACCCCCCACCCAGTAATAGTGAGAAAAAGGGATAATAGGGATTATGCTAGTGTCCTCTTGTATTCTTATTATCCTACCATTACAGGGTGGGGGGTCCTCCTAAGGTATATAGGTATACAGGCATCTCTCTTACATACTCTTGGGGTCCAGGTAGAAAGGTCCAAGCAGCAGAGATCCTCAAGCTGGGACTAAGAAGCGATGCTTTCGGGTATTAGGGTATTAGGGCTTAGGGTTTAGGGTATTAGGGTATTAGGGTTTAGGGTATTAGGGTTTAGGGTTTAGGGTATTAGGGTATTAGAGTTTAGGGTATTAGGGTTTGGGGTTTGGGGTATTAGGGTTTAGGGTTTAGGGTTAGGTTTAGGGTTCATTGCAGCCCTCCGCCTGAACGGCGAGTCACGCTAACCTGACCACCACCACAACTTACAGTAGTAGAGAATGAGGGAATATGTTGCACAGGGATTATTTCCAATGATTGACTTGCTGCAGATAACAATGAAGGGGATATGTTGTACAGGGATTATACACCATGATTAGTTCTACTTCCGTTTTTCCCTACGAACCGCCACTAAGACAAGAACAAGAAAGCAGAGGGCTCAGCCCAGGAATTGGGTACGCTCGGCGGTTCTGTCCTCCACGTCAACGCACATGATTTCCGGTGGGGATGACAAGGCCCTGGGGTCCTGTCATGGGGTTCAGAAGGTGGGATGAAGGTAGCTAGGTGAAAGGATCCCTAGTTTAAAAAAAAAATAGATCGGGGCTTGTTTCCTATACCCCACCTTCCTTCATCCCACCTTTTGAGCTCTCTGGTCCCCGCGACCTTGCTCGGGGTTTGGGGGTTGGGTGCACTGTGAAAGGTCCCGTAATGCGCGCCTGGTCGTATGCATGCTCAAGAAGCAACACAGCTATCCCACGAACGAAGCACGAGTCAGGAAAAAGAGGCACGAGTCGGGAAAAAGAAAAGGCACGAGTCAGGAAAAGGAAAAGGCACGAGTCAGGAAAAAGAAAAGGCACGAGTCAGGAAAAGGAAAAGGCACGAGTCAGGAAAACCCAAAAGCACGAGTCAGGAAAACGCACGCGAGTCAGGAAAAAGGCCACGAGTCAGGAAAACCAAACGGCACGAGTCAGGAAAAAGACAGCGAGTCGGGAAAAATACAAGGCCGAGTCAAGAAAACACCCGCGAGTCAGGAAAAGACCACGAGTCAGGAAAAAGACAGAGCACGAGTCAGGAAAAACTTAAGAGTCAGGAAAAAAGCAGGTGCGGACAACTGCTAAGATCACTCTTTTTCCACCGTGCGAGAAGTAAAGAAAAGGCAGCTGACAGAGGGAAGCCAGGCGCACACATACGTTAAAACCACCACTTTTTCACCTAGCTCAGAGGGAAAGCCAGGAACAGACACATGTTAAAACCACCCTTTCTCATTTTGCGAAAAGTAGGAAGGCATGACAGCTGAGAAGGAGAAAACCAGGTACGCACATGCGTCAAACCCCCCTTCATTTTGCAAGAGATAAACAGAAAAGACCATTGAGAGAGGGAAAAAAAAGTACAGACATATGTGAAATCCGCCTTTTTCACTTTGCGATAAGTGGGAAGACATATGTTAAAACCATCCTCTTTTCACCTTGCCATAAGTAGAAGGCCATGACATAGGAAGCCAGGTACAGACAGAGGTCCAAATCACCTCTTTCTCGCATTGCGATAAGAAGAAGGACATGACAGTGGGAAAACCACGTACAGACATGTGTTACAACCACCCTTTTCACATTGCGAGAAGTATAAGGACATGACAGAGGGGAATCTAGGTACAGACATATGTGTAGATCAGCCACGCTTTACCTTGCGATAGGTAGAAAAACACGACAGAGGCAAAGCCAGCTAGGTACAGACATATGTAAAACCCACCCCTTTTTCACTTTCGAAAAGGGAAAACCAGGTACACACATGTGTTACTACCACCCTTTTTGCACTTTGCGATAGGTAGGAAGACATGACTGCTGAGAGGGAGAAAGCCTGGTAAGCACATTAGTCAAACTCCCGTTCATCTTGCGAAAGATATAAAGAACTGTTCACTTTGCAATAAGTAGGAAGACATGCCACAAGCAAAGCCAGGGGTACGGGCATGTGTTAAAACAACCCTTTCTTCACCTTGTGATACGAAGACATGGCAAGGGGAAAGCCAGGTACACACATATGTCAAAACCATCCCGTTTTCACCTTGCGATAAGTGGAAGGACAGCATGCCAGGTACAGACATCCGTAAAAACCACCCCCGTGTTCGCTTTGCGATAAATAGAAGGACATCACATAGGACCGCCCCCTTGTTCGCATGGCGATAAGTAGAAGGACATGACATTGGGAAGTTAGGCTCAGGCATATGGTAAAACCAACCCTTTCTCCGGGTGCGGTAAGTAGGAAGACATGACACAGGAAATACCACGTACGGACATATGTTAAATCCGCCCCCTCCTTGCGATAAGTAGGAAGACATGATACAGGGAAAGCCAGGTACGGACATATGTTAAAACCGCCCCGTTTCTCACCTGGCGATCAGTAGAAAGACATGACACAGGGAAAGCCATGTACAAACCTATGATGAAAACACCCCTTATCACTTTGCAAGAAGTAGAAGGACATGACAGGGAAAGCGAGGTACAGACATATGTTGCACACCACCCTTTTTTCACCATGCAAAAAGTAGAAAGACATGATTGCGGGCGAGCCAGGTACCGGCATACCCCTTTTTTTCACCCTGCAAAAAGTAGGAGGACATAATAGCAGGAGGAAGAAGGCCGGGTACGCACATATGTCAAAATTCCCCCTTCTGCTTGCTATAGATGCAAAGAAAAAACAGTTGAGAGAAGGAAGTCTGGTGCGGACATATGCTAAAACCACCTTTCCACGTTGCGACAAGTACGAAGGCATGACACAGGCAAAGCCAGGTGCAGATATTAATTTAGGCATATATCCGAGCATCCAGAAGGTCAGCTGTTTGACCGTCTTTCCTTTTCCCGTGTTGATGGTTCCCGACTCACGCCTTCGTTTTTTCCCGATTCGCGCCTTCTCTTTTTCCCGACTCACGCCTTCCTTTTTCCCGACTCACGCCTCCTTTTTTCCCGACTCACGCTTCCCTTTTTTCTGACTCACGCCGCG